ACACAAAAGAGAAAGAAGAAACAAAGATTACAGATAACAATATAATGTAGGGGTTTAAGGTTTACGGAGGTTCGGGGCTTCGGGTTTTGGGGGTTTGGGAGTTTGCGGGGGTGTGGGAGCTTGGGGGATTTAGGTTTTCGGGCATAGGGCTTGGGGTTTAGGGATAATTAAGTCAGTTTGAATCCTCGTTCGACGCTAGAGTGCAGGGCTTCACTGTCCCGACTAACTGAGACCCCTAAACGCTAAACCCTAAACCCTAAACCCTAAACCCTAAACCCTAAATCCTAAACCCTAAACCCTAAACCCTACACCCTAAACCCTAAACCCCTTCAACTCAAAGGCCCAAAACCCCCACATCCCCCTTGGGGTGAGCGAGCTGCAATGCCATGAGCAGCCTCATTGAAGCTTCCCGTGTCCGAGCCCTCCGCCTTGCTGGCCTGTTTGGCTAGGGCTTTGGGTTTAGGGTTTAGGGTTTAGGGGTGCGGAAAATCGCATTCTCCGGTTAGACAGCCTCATGGCCGAAAATACCATGGGCGTTTCAACAAAGTTACTCTAGGAGGGCCCTTCAAACCCTCTGAAAATATTACTACATACTAGACCCGAGAGTAGCCTAGGCATAAAAAGGGTACCCTGGTTCGCTTAAACCCAATAAGGGAACATGAACAAATCCCAATGGCCTACCCAGAACAGATGTACTACCGACGTATGTATCAAACTGCTGGCTCCCAAAGCACCACACAGCGTCGAACCGATGCCCCCCTCCCTACACACGCACACCAGGATGTGCTGTCAGGTCCTAAAATCCCATATACAAACTCAGGGTGATAGGTCCAATAGCCCATCCTGGCACGCCCCAACCCCTCCACCCCCACACCCCTGACGAGCCCTCCTGGCCTCCAGCAGCACTTTCAGCCCCTTTAGGGTTTGGCAATTTGGGCTTCTTCAGCCTTAAGCTTTCGGGTACAAGGCTCCTTCTGCCCTTTGTTCCTGCCCTCCGCTCCCTGAGCCCCAAGCTCTAGTTTGGGTTTAGGGACCAGACCTAAACCCTAAACCCTAAACCCCAAACCCCAAACCCTAAACCCTAAACCCTAAACCCCCAAGCAAGGCTCCAAACCCCCGAGCCGCCCCAGATCCGCCAGGCCACGCCAAGCCAGCGGTCAAAGTCCGTGGCGCGGTGGCCGCAGGGGAAGTGGCTGAGGTGAAAGCCTTCGACCTGCTAGAAAGCTGCTTAGGGTTTAGGGTTTAGGGTTTAGGGTTTAGGGTTTGGGGTTTGGGGTTTGGGGTTTGGGGTTTGGGGTTTGGGGTTTGGGGTTTGGGGTTTGGGGTTTGGGGTTTGGGGTTTGGGGTTTAGGGTTTGGGGTTTAGGGTAAGTAGCCCAGAAACCATCTTCGAATGGGCCACCCTTTCTTGAGGCTTTGAACCAAAAAAAGGAAAAAGGGTACCACTGGTCTACCAAGCTAGGTCGCACCCGGCACGGTCCTACACCACGAAAACGCCAACCCGTCACTGCGACTCTTCCAGGGCTCATAGGGCCAACAGTCATAGGGCTACAGGTTCGGTTCAAGGAATGCCGTAAGGCTTCTATCTAGGGTTACTCGAATTTTAATAGGGCTTAGGGTTTATCTTGGTAGCCCAGTAACCATCTTGTAACAAGGGTACCTCTTTTGGGGGTTGGTTACTAACTGATAAGGAAACCAAGAACCCCAAACAAAGGTAAGAGGCACCACTGGGCGACCCTAAACCCTAAACCCTAAACCCTACACCCTAAACCCGAAACCCGGTACCACTGGGACCCCTATAGTAAGGTACCCCTTAGGTCCGCCTCTCTTCGGGCAACAGCTGCACGGAGATCCCCTCCGTCAAGCCTGTGCCCAGGGTGCACACCAACAGCTAGGGTTTAGGGTTTAGGGTTTAGGAATTAGGGTTTGGGGTTTAGGGTTTAGGGTTTAAGGCTTAGGGTTTAGGATCTAGTGTACATGTACGGCTTCGGCCTTGAGAGTTTATCGTGTTGTCTCAACCGTACCAACATGATCTATAACAACCAGGGTCCTGCAACTCTCACAGAAGGGGGGAAGAGTTCAAAGAGCAGGTCGCCAAGCGGGAACCCGGAAGTACACCTCCCTAAACCCTACAAACACTAAACTCTATAAACTCTATACCCTAGAAACCCTAAACCCTAAATCCTAAACCCTAAACCCCAAACCCTGAGCCCTAAACCCTAAACCCTGGACAACTTCGGGACTTCCTTGGGGTTTGGGGCTTTGCTTCATTGGCGATTCACTGCTGTGGAAATGCCATCTTCAAACCTTGCCTGGAGGTGCACGGGTAATAACCCCCGCCCAATCATAAGGTTTAGGATTTAGGGTTTAGGGTGTAAGGGTTAGGGGTTTAGGGTTTAGGGTTCGAAGCGCCCATTTTCTGTCTTCTCTACTTAGGCGACTGAGGTGGATATCAGTGCAGTTAGAATTTGGGTTGTAAGTACCCATGAACCTCCACAAGTGGTGGGAACGAGGAAAGCTTGGTGAAAGTCGCAAGCAACTTGAGGTTCTCTGACGCAGATGGTGCGTTTAGGGTTTAGGGTTGAAGGTGTAGGGTTTAGGGTTTAGGGTGTTTTCGGACTAGAGAATTAGTTACCACATACCCCTTGATTCCCTCATTCCCTACTAGGAGGCATCAAGAAAGGTCTGCAAACTGTCGATGTCAGTCGAGGTGTTCTGGCCCCCCAAAACCCCAAGCCGCACAAGCTGAGTGTCGTTGACCATCGCGCTCTTCGATTGGCGAAACAAGCCCCGGATCCCTAAATCCCAAACCCTGAAATTCGAAACCTATATAAACTGCGAACCCTTACAGTAGCCCAACCCGAAACATTGAATCCAGCCAGGTGTCGGCAGGGTCATGCTGGTCTTGGCAGCCTGGCGTCGAGCACTGCGAGTACTGGTTTCACGGACAAGTTTCGTGTCAAGGCTTTTGGGTTTGGGGTTTGGGGCTTGGGGTGAACTGAATAGTTCACGGGTTCACGGGGTAGTAGGGACACTACAATCCCTACGCACTCTCGTGCAGAAGGTTTAGGGTTGTATTGCCAGGTTCGCCTGCGACACACGTCGCTGGATTCGGCGCGTCTTGACCCGAACCTTAACGCAAATACTTTGACCCCCACACCGATACGCTGTGAACCAATGAGCAGCCAGAAGCCCGGGGCACCCGCGTAGTGCTGCGTTAGTGCTTGCTAAGGAGTGGCTCAGATGAATAAGCCCAATCACCCCATCTCCGGGGATTGACCTTAGTGCTTCTTGCAATCCTAGAGAATTAGTGCACCGTTCCGCGCTTCAAAATGTGCCTCATAAACACAAGGCTTCCCAACCTTAAACGCATAAACCACAAGCTCCTAAAGGACCACGAATCCCCAACACTGAAGAAACCCTAAGCCCTCAACCGACAACTGGGTTTTGGGGTCTCGGGTTTACCTGTACCCTGAAAGTACCCTTTAAGATGCCCTAAATACCCCCCATGATTAAGGTAGCTTTGAGGCCCTTATTCATTGAGGGGGGGTACGCTAAACCGTAAACCCTACACCCTAAACCCTAGATCCTAAACCTTAACCGCAAAGGTCGGGCCCAAGGGCTTAGTATGTTCGGGACGCTGGACCTGCTAGCAGCCCAAAAACTGCGAAGGCCTCGAAGGCAGGAATGACCAGAGCCCCAGGTCCTGGCGAGAGCTCGAAGCTTTCCTAAACCCTAAATCCTAAACCCTAAACCCTACACCCAAAATCCTAAACCCTGAGACTAGGCCCCTTCCTAGTGCAGCATCAAAAGTATAACCCCGATTAGGGTACATGGACCATAAACCATAAACCCTTTTAGGGTTCATTTGGTCCCTAAGGCCACTTGGCTTCGGCTTTTGTTGCCTTCTGATGCCCTGGCTCAAACTCTCTCGCACGCTTATTGTGACGTTGCAAGCGCGCGGTGTTTTTGTTGGGGGGATCTACATGTAAGCGGTATAAGCCGGGACCCCTAGAAAGGACCCTTAATCTTATTCCCCTATACAACCCTCATATATACCTTATCCTCGTACCACGAAGAGCCATTGGCATCATGCATGTCTTCCAGCAAGTCGCTCAGGGAATCTAGGGCTTCATCCAGAACACCTTCCGCTGGATATCGGGGATTTAGGGATCTCCGGCTTATGGTTTGGAAACCCCAAACCCTAAATACCCTAAACCCTGAAGCCTTAAACCCTAAACCGTAAACCCTAAACCCCAAACCCCTAAACCCTGAACCCTCTCCTCGGTTCTTGCGGCTTCCATGACTGAGGGCCTTCAGCGACGCAAGCTCGATGGGTTTAGGGTTTAGGTTTTTACAGGTTGAAGGGCGTACGGGGTGGGGGGGGGGGGGGGCTTTCGTGACTCAGTGAGTGTTTAGGATGAGGCTAGGGGCCTAACCCGAAACCCCTAAAACTGCAACTCTAAAACCCTGAAGCCCTGAGCCCTAAACCGTGACTTGAAGCAAACACTAACACCTGAAAAGGTCGACCGCAAGGCACAAAACAGCCCAAAAACCTTATTCAAGAGGGCCTTTAGGTCCAAAAACCTAAAATGGGAGTCCTTATAGGGTCTGGGGTCGGGCTGCGAGGGCTTCGGGGTCTGGATGGTTTGAGGGGCGACGGGGGGCCTTGTGGGTGATGAGGTATAGGGCTTAGGGAGGTTGGGGTTCATGCACGGTATTCTTGCTTGCGCCAGAAGGCGTCCCTCCAGCCCTCTCTCTGCAATCTCTTCATTTTCAGGGAAGCAACAGCTCGATTGTCAATGTAAAGACAACCCTAGGCCACTTTAGGAGATCAGGGGCGACTCCAATAAATCTTTCTCCTTCCCTCTCTATCTCTCACACACAGGCTACTCGGCACTCCTCTCTGGTCACTGGTTTCGCCCCTTGGTTGGGGAGGATTAGGGCGTTTTAGGTTTGGAGTTTAAGTTCACGGGCTTTGGACTTCGGGTTTTTTCGGCCTCACCTGTTGTTTGTTGACCACATCCGCCCCGAGCTCGGCACGTTGAGGAGCTGTCGCCCTGCATCCTTGCCGAGCAGAAGATCGTGGAGCCTCGCTTGCAAGCTCAACAGGGCTTAGACTGAACCCTAGTATTGGGGCCATATACCCTACACTACTATATTCATATACCTTAATGGGGATCATAAACCCTATTGGGGTTTTGGGTTTACAGGTTAGATACCCTACACCACTATACTCGCCATTAAGGCATATGAGCCATAAACCAATTAGGGTTCATTTGGTCGTTCAGGTAGGGTGCAGTGGGTCAAATTTGGTGTTGGCGGTAGGGCTCAGAGCAGTGAAGACAGGCGAAAGGGTTTCAAAGAGGTGCGTGCAGGAGATTGGGAGGTCTTCCAAAGTGGACCAGTCCGGTCGAGGTCTGGTACCCGCGGCTGCTGGGCGATGAAGATCATCCACTCGTTTCCTCGAACTTCTCCGAGGAATTCGACATACAGCAAGTCCCTATGTCCCTATATCGGTACCATTCTGCTTGCGATCGTTGCATGTCGCACTTTTCCTTCCCTGCCAACCAACGGAAATGCTGGAACGGTTCGCGGCGTGGTGGGCGTGACAGTTCCAGAAAAGGGGTCTTTAATCTACGGGTTTAAAGTTTATGGTCTCCGAGGGCTTCTGTCTGCGGCACAGACAAACAAGTACAAAAACCAATTCATCCGAGAAGCCCTTAAACCTCCTTGTCTGCTTACGAAGCCCCCAAACACACAAATACAATGATCCCCATAATATTGCCCTTGTTAAGGAGACCTAATATACACTGACCTTTTTTGCTGCTAGTCTGTCATGCACCCTCGGGCATCTGACAACGAAAGCTGTGACTGCGTCTTAGCAGAAGCGAGAGATAAACACAAAGTGAATTCAACCAGTCGCACTCACCAACAACAGATGTGTAAACCCTGCTTCACCCAGGCCCTACTGGGAGGTTCATGGGTACTTCCAGCCCCCCAATTTCTCAAGTCTACTTGTCACCTACCCTACACCCTCCCTAAACCGTATAAGTCCTCCAAGTATATGCCATTACATTCCCCAAAGATGCCTCCGGCTTGGTACGAAGTCCACGTCGAGAAGGAACACGAGGTCGGATCGCGCATGCCTAAGTAGCCCTCCCCGTGCCTCCTAAAGTCCTTATAGGGTGTAGGATTTGGGGTGTAGAGTTTAGGGTTTCGGGTTTAGGGCCTTAGCCCGATTTGGGAGTGAACGCTCCGAGAATCAACGCGGCAATGCGAAGCGCACGAGTATGACCTGAAAGCTTTCCTGATTGTGCGACTACAACGTAGAGTTTTGAGACTGATGCCCGAGCACGCTAACGACAACGGGCAAAGTCAGTACAGACATGATGAATCGAAAGGCCTCCTGGAAGGGGTTCCGGCTGTTGCGAAACCCTAGGAATCTAAACCCAGCTGCTCCAGCGCGGCGTTCCGGAGCGCATTCACGGGATAGAGGCGGTCATAGGCATCACACTTCACGTGCTCATCCTCTTGGAAAGGGACTACGGCTTGTAGGATGTTGGGCTTAGCTTTAGGCGCGCAGGGTTAAGGGTGACGGGCTTATACGTACGATTGAGGGTGCGTTGCTTGGGGCGTGCAGAGTTTGGGCATCCCTGATTCACTCTCGAAATCGGCGTCGGATATCTAGCCACGCGTAGGGTGTCAAGCTTTAAGAGAGTGCGGGGGTTGGAGGCTGATGGCGGTTTATTGGGGTTTATGAGGGTGACGGTTTGGTGTTTAGGAAACCCCAAACCGTAAGCCCTAAGACCTAGAAACCTCCATAGCATCTCTTCTATAGCCTGGGTGTGGCAATAGTCAGCTCAGTGGTCCCGACACCAGAGGAGGCATTGGGGCGCTCTACCCGAAAGCCTAAAACCCTAAACCCTAAGCACGCTAAATCCTAAACCCTAAACCCTAAACCCTAAACCCTAAACACTCAGCCCTAAACCCGAACCACCCCGAAAGGCGTCCTCCAGGCGGTAGAGCAGCACGATCGTCCAAGCCGGCGTGCCCACAGGGAGCTTGGTCGCGGCTTCAAAGCACATCTCCCGTATGCCTGCACTTCCCCGGTCAGGGTTTAGGGTTTAGGGTTTAGGGTTCAGGGTTCAGGGTTTAGGGTTTAGGGTTCAGGGTTTAGGGTTTAGGGTTCCGGTCGCCTCGGCGCGCAGCGACGGAGGCGTCCGAGCTCGGCGGCGCATCGATGAAGACGGCCGCAGAGACCTGGATTAAGGGATGGTGGGGCTCAAGGGACTAAAGGAGGGACCCTTATAAGGGGTCTTGGGTTTAGGGTTTAGGGTTTAGGGTTTAGGGTTTAGGGTTTGGGGTTTAGGGTTACTAAAGTACATACGGACACTCTAAGGTGGATTGTGGGATGGTGGGGCTCAGGGGACTCTAGGGGTCTATGGGGTTTAGTATTTTAGGGTTTATGATATGTAGGGTTCAAGGTTTAGGGTTAGGGTTCTCCCAGGGGCTCAAGGAGGGACCCTTGTAAGGGACCCTATAAGGATTATTTAGGGACTATGTAAGGTGGATCTTAGGGACTATGTAAGGTGGATCGCGGGCTGGTCAAGGGGCTTAGGGATGCTGGGGTTTATAGGGTTTATTTAGGTATTTCTCAAATAGGGGCACCCCTTGTCTACCCCCAACTAGAGTAGAATTCTAGGGTTTATGGTTTATAGGATGTAGGCTTTATTGGGCCGAGGGTGTATAGGGTTTAGGGATTATCGGGTTAGAGCATACGGGGTTTACAGGTTTGTAGGGTTTGCAGAGTTTATGGTGTTTTATAGCCTATAGGGAAGCTCCAAAACCGAAAGTACGATACATAGAAAGCTCAAACCCCCTAAGGCCCACAAAGCCTTTTTAGGGCCCAGAACCCGAAACCCGAAAAGCCAACCCGAAAAGCCCTACCCCTCCCCCCTACCCCCTACCTACTACCCCTCACCCCCCCTAAACGCCCCCATTAAACAATACCCTCAGATTCGCATCCCCGGCCTCCCCGGCCCAGCTGGTCAGCTGCTCGCGGAGACCTTTGGGGCTTCGGGTTTGGGGCTACCTGCTCGCTTAGTATGGGCAGTAAAAGGGGGACCGTTTATATACCCCTTAAATACCCTGTAAAACCCAAGGGCCCATACTTCAGAACCCTATAAAGGAGGTCAGGCACCCCATTAAGGGACCATGAAACTTCCCTTCCAACATGGCACTAACCTAGTCCCTAAATCCTTAAGGTTCTGGTAGGGTTTCAGGCCTTTACCCGGTGGGCTTTGGGGTGCATGGGGCTTTGAGGGCGGGCGTCCTGGGTAACACCAATACTCTCATATAGGGTTAAGGGTTATATTGGGGAATAAGATTAAGGGGTTATTTTAAGGGTTTAGGGGCTACATAGGGGAATAAGATTATAAGGGTCCCTTCCACCCCCCTCAGCACATCAAGGGATTCAGACTCGTACCCTTAAGGTTGTACCCCTAAAGGTTCCCCCTAGTATACTCCTAGTATGGCCCTTGCGAACATTCGGGCTGAGAGCCGACATGTTGCCCTCGGAACAAGCCTCAAAGCAACGCTTTGGAGTGTAAAGTAAGCAAATTTTCAAAAAGCGCCCCCTCAACCCCAAGCAACCCACAATTGTCTTGGACATCCGAAGATGTAGCCCCAACCCTCAACCGTCACTTAGCCCCAACCGTGGTAGCCCAGCAACCATCTTGCAATAAGGGTACCCTTTTTTAGGGTTGGTTGCTTTATGAGGGAGCCCAGAACCCCAAAAGCAAAAGAGTAAAGGGAACCACCGGGCTACCGTTTAGGGTTTAGGGTTTAGGGTTTAGGGTTTAGGGTTTGGGGTTTAGGGTTCGCCGAGAGTCGGTCTAGCCGGTCCAGTGAGCACTGCGTGACGAGGCACATGCCGGGCCCTTCCCTGGCGGGGGCGCAGGAGTGGGGGGTTTCGGGGCTTAGGGTTGTGAGGGCGCTAAACCTTCCGGAAGCCCTCAAGCCTCAAACCTTCACCTCCACACCTAAGCAGGAGCCCCGGAGGTTGTTCGAAGCGGAACCATCAACCAGGAGGCCTCGGGCTTGGGAATCAGGAGCCTTAGGGTAGAGGGTTTAGGGTTTAGCCCTCTAGACCCGAAGCGCAAAGAGAGGCCAAAAACGCGCCTGACTTTGCTCCCAGTTCGGAGGAGCACCTCCCTGCGATAGGGGAGGCGGCCCACGCGGCCGAGCCTGGGGACCGCTCCGGTGCGTTGTGAGGTTTAGGGTTTATAGGGTTTAGGGTTCAGGGGTTCATGAGAACCCTAACCCTAACCCCCAAACTCGGTTTGAAGCCCTGAACCTGCGAGCCCAAAGTGTCGCGCAGACCTCTTCATGGTGTAGAGGGGGGGGGGGGGTTAGGGTTTAGGGTTTAGGGTTTAGGGTTTAGGGTGTAGAGGCTTAGGGCTTGGAGAAGCCATGATAGCCAGCAAGCAGAACCAGCGACAGCACCACCTCAAAACCGGCAAACCTCTGAGAATAGGGTTGCTGAGAGCCCAGCAACCATCTTACAATAAGGGGGTTGGTTCCTTCATAAGGGAGCCCAGAACCCCAAAAAAGGGGTAAAGGGTACCACAAGGCTACCAAGGGTTTAGGGTTTAGGGCCTGGGCAGAGGCCGCCGGGGCACACGACGGCCCTCGCCTCCTCCTCGGCGTGGCTGATGTGCTCCTCGCAGCCACTTCGGGCGTTTGATGCTGGGTGGGCTTGGGCTTTGAGAGTGGAAATTAAGTGCTTACGGTGCCTATGTTGACCCTAAACTTCAGGGGTACCTGAATCTGATTCCCCTATATAACCCCTACACATACCTCATATAGTCCCTTAAACGGGTCCCTCCTCTAGCCCCTTGACAAACCCTAAACCCTAAACCCTAAACCCTAAACCCTAAACCCGAACATGGAGCCCTCAAAACCGTACAGCTGTACACTAGACAGCAAACACTCCGGACTGTGACAGCTTGGAGGTAGGATTTCGAGTTTGGGTTTTAGGGCTTAGGGTTCAAGGTTTAGGGTTTAAGGTTTAGGGTTTAGGGTTTAGGGTTTAGGGTTTAAGGTTTAGGGTTTAGGGTTTAAGGTTCGGGTGCTCCGACCTTTGGTATAGAGGCTGCTTGGCAGCTTCGAGCTTGAGTCAGCCCTTGACGGTAGGATTTCGAGTTTGGGTTTTAGGGTTCAGGGTTCAGGGTTCAGGGTTTAGGGTTTAGGGTTTAGGGTTTAGGGTTTAGGGTTTAGGGTTTAAGGTTTAGGGCTTAAGGTTTAGGAGTTTGGAGTTTGGGGTCTCTTTATCGCTTTATCCGCATAGGGTTTTTGGACACTGGGAGTACTGTACACTGCCCCCACAAGTTGAACGTTTACTTTAGGGTTAGTTTAAGGTTCACAGTTGCGAGGACTCGGGGAGCTTCATATGAACAATCATGGGTTCCCCTACTACCCTACTCTATACTACTCCCCCTGGTTCCCCGCATAATTAAGGCTATTGAGGGAGTATGAGAACCCATGAAACAAGGATCCAAGAGCAAAAGCGAATCTTCAATGCTGATACCCTCAACCCTCGGCCCTAAACCCTAAACCCTAAACCCCAAATCCCAAACCCTAAACCCTAAACCCTAAACCCTGAGTCCGAAACGGCCCGAAACCCCAACACCCCTCCCTACCCCCCTCCCCCCCCTCGGGCTGTCTTCAAACCACTCCGCGAGGTCCAGACGTGCCGGCACCTCAAGAGGCCAGACCCTAAACCCTAAACCCTAAACCCTAAACCCTAAACCCTAAACCCTAAACCTTAAACCCTAAACCCTAAACCCTAAACCCTAAACCCTGAAGTTTCGCTGCTTTTTTTTTGCACTCGAACCAGGCTCGTTAAGGGTCTAGGCCTACTTGTGAAAGGATTTCTGGGGATCAGGGAGTACTTGGAGGTTCATGGGCACTTACAATCACAATAATACATGTACATATGAGCCCCCACAGTCAGTCAAGTAGGTTAGCAGTAGACGCTTCATCGGGGGTTCTAAGTACCAATGAACCACCAAGTAAGGTTAAGGGCGCGCGGCTTTTTGGGGAGGTATGGAGTCTCGACCCTGACCCCAGGGCGTCAGGGTCTTGGGCTTTCAAGCTCCGCACCTCTCATTTCATGTGCTTCTGCTATGGTTATCTGCCCTAACCCTAAACCCTAAACCCTAAACCCTAAACCCCCAAATGGCCCCTGTTGTTCAGCTGCATGATGGTGAACCCAAGCTGCCCAACTGCCCCCTTCTCTGCCACGAGGATGCCCGGGGGGACTTCGGGGACTTTTGGGGGACTTAGAGGGGCTTATTAAGTGCAGTTACAATTGGGGCTATAAGCCCTAAACCCTAAACCCTAAACCCTAAACCCATGAACGGCAAAGTGCGAGGGGTGGATGTGCTCGGGCATCTGAAGGTTCGCTCTTTGGGAGGGGACCGGATGTCGGATCATGTAACATGCAAGAACCCTAAACCCTAAACCCTAAACCCTAAACCCTAAACCCTAAACCCGAAGATGAAACCCAAGTGGCAACAAGGAACAACACCCCCGGAGCTCTAAACCCCCAGGCCCCAAGCATGCCCAGACCATGACCCCTCCGAAGTCCTAAACCCCAAACACCACAGGGGTTTAGGGTTTAGGGTTTAGGGTTTAGGGTTTAGGGTTTAGGGTTTAGGGCTCCCTGGAGATGTTCAGGCGAAGGGCAGGAGGCGAGCAAGGGCAAGCCGTCTTCCAATTGCCCCCGTGCGGGCCGCGGCCGGGATGATCGTCCTCGCCACCCGCGTACATCTCTACCTTTGCAGCCAAAAGCGCTGAGGTCTACAAGGGCTATAGATTTTTCATTGCTAGATTCTGTTGTCTTTTGCTTGGGGGGAGTGCGGGGCGACTAAACCTTGAAATATAACCCTCTGACGATTACCCTACAACTTAAACCCTGGAATAGAACCTCGAAGCCCTAAACAGCAGCTCCCTAACTTAGTTGTCCAGTATCCTGGCGAACTCAAGGATACTCTTTGGGACCCTATAGGAATTGTACTATCCCGAAAAGCTTGAGGGTTACCTACTCTACTACTAAGTTAAAGCCTAAGCCACATTTGACAAGGAGGCAAGTGGATCTCACAGGGTTCCCGAGGACATTGACCCAGGGCTCCCCCTAAACTCCCTACCCCCGAAACCCTAAACCCTCTGGACCCTAAACCCCGAAAGGCTTTAGGGTTTAGGGTTAGGGTTTAGGGTTTAGGGTTTATGGTTGAGGGCTTAGGGTTTAGGGTAGCCAAACCTCCAACAACCCAAAGCACTGAACCCTCCTTCTAAGATGGCAGCTAAGCAACAGTTTCAGCTGCCTCCTCGACAGCCTCGGGGCTGACCTGCGTACGAAGAAACCAAGCCGGAAAACAGTTTTTTTGGAGTAGCTATGGAGTTTAGGGTTGATAGGGTTTAGGGTGTAGGGTTCAGGGTTTAGGGTTTAGGGTTTAGGGTTCAGGGTTTAGGGTTTAGGGTGTAGGGTTTAGGTTTGGGCTGAGGGTTTGGGGACTGGAGAAGAGCAAAAATGGGGGGGGGGGGGGGGGGGGGGGGCGCCTCCTTTTGAAACGCGGGTGAGAGGGCTGTTGAAGCTGCCTCTTCGGGGGCTTCTGGTTTCCTTCAGGGTTTTTTTCTGGGTCTTTAAGGGACGTCCTTCAAGGGCTCCTACTTAGGGGCCTCCTTTGTGGGCCTTATTTTGGGGACTCCTTGAAGGGCCTCCTTTAAGGGCTCCTCTTTAGGGGCCTCCTTTAAGGGCTTTGGTTTTGGGGCCAACCTCTAAACCCTAAACCCTAAACCCTACACCCTAAACCCTAAACCATACACCCTAAACCCTAAACCCTAAACCCTAAATAGGCTTTTCACAAGGCATCCTTCAGGGAAGAGGGGTTTCCTTCTGGGAGTTTGGGCTTCTTGGGCATCCCGGAGGTTGCCTTGCCTACTGGTGCGGGTTAGCTTGGGTTTGGGGTTTGGGGTTTGGGGTTTAGGGGTTAGTTTGGGGTTTGGGGTTTGGGATTTAGGGGTTTTAGGGGTTTTAGGGGTTTAGGGGTTTGGGGTTTGGGGTTTGGGGGTTTAGGGGTTTAGGGGTTTTAGGGGTTTAGGGGTTTAGGGGTTTAGGGGTCTAGGGGTTTAGTTTAGGGGTTTAGGGGGTTGAGGGGTTCAGTTTAGGGGTTCAGGGGTGTAGGGGTTTAGGGTTTAGGGGTTTAGGGGTTTAGGGGTTTAGGGGTTGAGGGGTTGAGGGGTTGAGGGGTTGAGGGGTTGAGGGGTTGAGGGGTGAGGGGTTTAGGGTTTGGGGGTTGTGCATGTGCCTGAGAATTGAGGACCACTGGATGGTGCATTCTTTCGAGTGGTCTCTAGATCCTACACTGCATGAGAAGACCCCTAAACCCCAAACCCTAAACCCTGAACCCTGAACCCTAAACCCTAAACCCTAGACCCTGAACCCTAAACCCTAAACTCTAGAAGCCTTAAACCACAAGCCAAGTCCCCCCCCCCCCCCCCAAGGCCTCCGAGGCCATCCCTGGCACGCAGTGCTCTTTTCTAGGAAGGCTAGGGATTAGGGTTTAGGCTTTAGGGTTTAGGTTTTAGGGGTTTTAGGGTTTAGGGTTTGGGGTCTAGGGATGCGAGGAAGGGCCGTTTTCGGCTAAAGCTCACGAATCAAAAAGCCACGGAATCCTGCACTACCCAGCTAAACCCCAAGTCGCTTCAACACCAAAACCACAAAAAACCGCTAAGCCGCTAAACCCTAAACCCCAAACCCTGAACCCTAAACCCTAAACCCAAAAGCGCCCAAACCCCTCAAAGCCCTTCAACCCTTGAAGCCTGACAGCCAAAGCCCCTAACGTCCCTAGCCCTAGACCCCTCAAAACCCTCAAACCCCTAAATCCTGAAGCCCTAAGCCCCTACGCACCCAAAACCCTTCAAATCCAAAATCCTGAAACCCTACAAGCCTCTAAAGCCCAAGACTTTGGATGTCCCCCGTCTAAGGGGGAACATCCCCGAACCCTAAACACTAAACCCGAACCTCTAAACCCTAAACCCAAAACCCTAGACCCTAAACCCTAACCCTAAACCCTAAACCCTAAACCCTAAACCCTAAACCCTAAACCCTAAACCCTAAACCCTAAACCCTAAACCCTAAGCCCTACAAACCCCTAAACCCCCTACGCCGTCCTTCCGGAGGCTCATCTGGCATGCCGGCCCAGCAGTCCTCGCGATCAAGGCACCAGCGGCCCAACACCCAAACACCCTTACAATTCGGATTAGGGTTTAGGGTTTAGGGTTTAGGGTTTAGGGTTTAGGGTTTAGGGTTTAGGGTTTAGGGTTTAGGGTTTAGGGTTTAGGGTTTAGGGTTTAGGGTTTAGGGTTTAGGGTTTAGGGTGTAGGGTGTAGGGTTTAGGGTTTAGGGTTTAGGGTTTGGGACCGGGGGGGGGCAGCCCTGTACTGTACATAGGATCAACAAAAAGGACCTCAATTCACAGAAATACCCACTCACCTAACCCGAAACCCTTGTTGGCAGTCCTGGCCCTCCTCCGCGCCGAACTGCTGGGCAAACTGGCACTCCCCCCCGTGATTCTCCTCGGCGCGTTCCACGGTCCGAGGTCTGTATGGGTTTAGTGCTTGTAGGGTTTAGGGCTTAGGCTTGGGGCTTAGGGTTTAGGAATTAGGGTTTGGGGCTGGGGACTGGCCATCACACTATTTGAGATTCTTTGAACTACTCATAACTACTCGCGAACCTTTTAAGCGGTCAATAGAATCGTTTCACTTCGCTCACAGCACACGCTCTCTCTCTCTCTCTCTCTCTCTCCTTCTCTCTGTCTCGTGTGCACCTTGGGTTCGTAGGTAGTTACCAAATGTCTTTTTACCTACATGACTTCCAAATTCCAATCAGAAGCCTCGAAGCCCTTGAACCCCCTAAAACCACAACAACCCCAACCTCGTTGGCATGCAGCCGTTGAGAACCCAAGGTGTAGCCATTAGGGCTTAGTGTCACAAAACCCTAAACCCTAAACCCTAAGCCCTAAGCCCTACACCCTAAACCCTAAACCCTGAACCCTAAACCCTAAACCCTAAACCCTAAACCCTAAACCCTAAACCCTAAACCTTACGTCAGCACAACCAATTAGGGTTAAAGCACCTGTTGCTGTCGGTTTGCGGTGTCCTTGGTTCTCGTAGGTTTAGGGTTTACATACACGCCTCAAACCTTAAGCTCTAAGCCCTAAGCCCTATACCTAAACTGCAAGTAGGTTAACCCTAGACTCTAGACCCTAGACCCTAATCCCTAAACCCGAACTAACCCCCCTAAACCCTAAAACCTAAACCCTAAACCCTAGACCCTAAACCCTAAACCCTAAACACCCTACTTCCCATAAGGTTCAGGGTCCACTCGTCTCGCAAGCCAAGAGTCGACTTGCGCTGCCTCGAAACCATGTGGGGGCGAGTAGGGCCAGGTGTCCTGCACTGGCCATGTTTAGGGTTTAGGGTGTAGGGTTTGGGTTCGAGAATCGGCCTTACCAGCGACAGATTTGATGTAACCAAGGGTGTGGGGTCAAGTCTTATGGATTTGGGGTTCAGGGCATGGGGCTTAGAGGGCTTAGAGGGCTCAGAGGCTTAAAGCTCGAGGGCCTATGGTTTACAGCTGTTGTTGGTGGCGGCGTCGTCGTTTGTTGTGATTCGTTTCGGTTTGTGTTGCTTTAAAGGGTTTCGGGCTGAGGTTTCATGTCAAACAGGTATGTAGGGCCTGGGGTCCGGTTGGGTTTGGGCTTGCGGCCTAAGTGTTAAGTCTTCTAAGGTAAAGTTACGAACCTTCGGACCTACATCCTAAGGACCCTAGACTCCTTCAGAAAGGGTTTGTTTAAGGGTTTAGGGTTTAGGGTTTAGGGTTTAGGGTTTAGGGTTTAGGGTTTAGGGTTTAGGGTTTAGGGTTTAGGGTTTAGGGTTTAGTGGGTCGAAGAAGACCCGGGCAGACGCTAAGAGATGGGGGAATTTAAAAATGTTACCCTTGATGGAGTTTAGGGTCCAGGGTTTAGGGTTTAGGGTGACGGTTCCAAACTACCACTGCCAAGCATCAGCTTCCCCCTCCCCCCCCCCCCCCCCCACCCGCCGCACTTATCAACGGCGTTTCAAGAATTTCACACACACACACACACACACTACATATCTGGTGCCCCTTCCTTGCACCCATACAACTGTGGAGGGTGGAGGGCTCTCAGGCCCTCCGAACCTCAGCCCTTTGGCCACCTGCGGCGCTGCTGGGCTGGTGGGTTTAGGGTTTAGGGTTTAGGGTTTAGGGTTTAGGGTCTAGGGTTTAGAATTTAGGGTTTAGGGGTTTAGGGCTTTCGAAACTGGTTTACAACATCCACTCAGTCCGAGGCTTCTATTAGGGTTTAGGGTTTAGGGGGACCAAGAAGAAATATCCAGGGTCTCAACAAGGAACGCCCGTCTCTTATCAAACGGTTTCGCCGTGCTGCTCTTCTGCGCACCTCTTAAACAAAGTAGAGGGTCTATGCAAGCCTCTTATACGGGAAACTACGGCCCATCCTAAACCCCAAACCCTAAACCCCAAACCCTAAACTCTAAACTTTAAACCCCGCACCTCCCCATGGTAATCATAACCCGGGAGTAACCTAGGAACAAAAAGGGTGCCCTTTTTGGTTTCAAGGGGATAAAAAAGGAAAAAAGGGCCTACGCCCGGTCCTGGTGGTTGTGGTAGCCGTAGCCATAGTAGCCATATGGCCTCGGCGCAAAGGATGTCCACAGTTCGTAAAAGAGTTGAA